ACTGTGAGGAACCCTGAGTGGACCAATGAAATTTTTGTTCAGAGTTAATGATTGGCTAAATTTACTCTGAAACTGCACTATTCAACTTTCTTTTGATATATATTTTTTATCTGCTAATGAAAGATTGTCAAAAACTGTTACTCGTAAACAGCACATATTTGTAATCCTCCTGAATTATAATGCACTGTAATGTTTGTAAAAGAGACCTCGCAAGCAAGTCTTAAGTTTTTCACTATTAGGTAATATGATTACTTCAACAAGCTACCAGTAAAGATGCCAATTATCTGTATTTGCCTTATAATTAGTATTGATTCTTCTCCCTTCCCCATGAAAAAGACTGAAATATATTAAGATTAGGATTATTCCATAATGAAAACAATGTATTATTTTTGTAAAAAATAAATGGTGTTATATCTAGTAACAAAACGCAGCAATATCTTCCCCTTACAACAAAGACTGTCACTCCTATGTCATGTACTTGATGAACACTCCGTTTAGACCAAGTATTGGAAATTATTCTTGGACACACATTTCTGGAGAAGTTAAACACAATACATTATTTTATTTTGTGGACTCATGAATCAGAATTAACAATTGTACCCAATTCTGGGGAAAAAAAGTATCAAATTATAACACACGTTTTTAAAAAAATCATCTTTCCAAGCCATCTAGATTTTACAGAACAGCCTACTTTTAAAGGTAAGAGACACTGTCTCTATAGTACCAAACACACTTTAGGAAGTTAATTGGCATTTTAATGATTTCACATTTAAAACAGAAACAAGTTGGGCTCATAGGTATTTAAAAATGGCAGCTATTTTTCAGGGAAACGTTTAGCCAAAGCTACAATATTGCACCATTCTCGTATCCCTGCTTCTTTGATCTACTCCGATGCCTCTTTCATGATGCAGCTTCCACCTTCTGCTCTCTCTCCTTTCAGAGGCAATATCTGGATGTAGAAGTGGTTCATCAATGAAATATTTCACATGGATTGGCAAAGCTAAGAAACTGTTCCAGAGCGAAGGGACAGGTATCTCCAGAGGAGGTTCCAGAAATTCACCCCTAGTCATGGCAACATCTATGATCTTTCCCAATATAACAGTTTTCTGTAGAACAGATACTTGCAGAGAATCATCATAAACATTCCTATTTTGCATACATAACTATGGCAAATTAGGAATGTATGCTTATGCACATTGTGGTTCTTTCCACTGAAGTGAGTTCAAGGTGCAGAAGTCCTAAGTTGCATAACCTTTTGGTGGCTCAAGATCAGAAATTAGGTTGTTTTTTTTAAGTTAAACTGCTTCAATTATAATCTGGTTCCTAACTCAAAACAACAGGAAATTAAGTCTTCAATTTTTAGCAATAATGGTCAGTAAGAGATGCCACGAGTTTATAAAAATTGACCCCTAGGGGTCAATTTCCCCATGGAGGTCTCCAAGTTGGTTTGAGGGATGGCAGAAGAGGAAATCTGAACAAAGGGATGAGTAGCTCCAACATAAATAGCCAAAAGCATCCTTAGATTAGCAACCTGTCAGTCTTAACATGATCCATGTGCTACAAGGTGATGCAATCTTAGTCATAATTAAACAAGAGGAAACTTAAACTTCTCAGAAGTATGTATGCACCAGGCCAGGAATGACAAAGTGATTTTTTGTTTGTTTCCTCTAAACTTCCTGAATCTAATGGCCATAATGACATGGCAGTCCTGGAAACAGATGTGACTACTTTAATGAGTTGTGCACAGGAACTGCATTGGTGTTCCCACATGTGCTGAAGTGCCTCTTCTGAATTGAACCTGAAGCACTGTACAGCCCTAACAGAAATGTTATTACTCCTAAAATAGTGTTTTTTTAATTGAGTGTGAGCTCACTTATTAGATAATGCTTCAACTCTTTGACATAAAATACATATAAAAATACTGTGAAGGAGTACAGTATACAACATCTGGTTTCCTGCTTGTAATCATCTTGCATCTAGCATCCAGGAGACCACACAATGTCACCCTAGCATGACATCACAAATTACAAACATAGTGACTACTCAGAAAGATTTCTTTGGTATCTTGTTAGAATGTTCAAGCTTTATTCAATTCCTTGAAAACCGTCTCTAGCAAGAAACTGAATAGTTCTAACAACAATCTGAGTAGCTTCAGCCAGTCATTCATTATTTCATTTATAGGTATAACTTGCATTGCAGCAGCATTACAGAATCTAACAAACAAAACCCAACCCACAACAGCTTGACCTTAATACAAAAAGTTTCCTAAACCAGCCTTAAATGAGAATCTTCAACAGAAGGACATTCTGTACTTAATAAGTATTTCTGATGTCTGACTCTAATGCAATGATGGTCCTGTCTGGCAATAGTTCATGATGAAATGCAGAAAAATTACAGAGGCCCACAACATTGAGATCTAATCCTTTTATAGGATAAAAAAGAACATCTTGAACTAAGTTCAGAAGGTCACAGTAAGTCCATGCTAATTCTGCTGCACAGAATAATGTAGTTTTGATGATTCACCATTTGTAAGAGACCACTATTTTTGTACTGAGCTAAAGCCTCTGACTTGTCTTCTAATGGCAGTTTTACCTCTTACTTACTGATATGAGGGCTGCCTGTGACAGAACAGGGGAAAAATCCTTTCCATTACAAGGTTACGTAATGGCTCTAGCAATTACTATTTTAATCTTTTATTATCCTAGTCATGCATACAGTAACTAGAGGTCAATTAATATGCTAGGTTAATCTGTAACATCTATTTGTGCTTAGATGTCTAAAAATTATTAATATAAATGCAGTAGGTAAATTAGTATCGTAAGAAATAGGTTATTCAATTAAAGATAACTTATTCATATACATGAAAAACTGTTTTTTTGTATACTAAGTAGGACTGATTTAATACATTGTCCGGTAAACTCAGCATCTAGTGATGGCTTGAATTTGTAAATGAGCATTACAAACTTAATGTCACATCAACTGTTGTTATTATCATACAGTAAATCTGAGTGAGGTCAGTTCGTACATGAATGAATGAGTGTGGTTTAATGGCATTTCTGTTTTATATAGTACTGTACCATGCTCAGTTCTTTAGAAATACCACCAGTTAGAATCTTTAAATTTGTAATAGAATGTGAACTGATTGGTGAAATGAATAGGAACTATTTAAACTTCCATCTCATGTACTGTACAGCTGATGTAGCAAGGATTCTTATGGAGGCTGAATTTCAAATGTGTGTTGTTCTAAAAAGGAAATAGATCTATAATCTCTCTGCCAGCATTACTATAGTCCAACCAAAGTTCATCTAAATGTAGAACCCTTCTGAGCAGATAAAGACAGCTGTGTAGCACATACAAATTCTTAAAATATTAGTTGCTGCTCCTCATGTTTCCTAAGAGCTATAGACTAGAGTCTGAAGGTGGAATCTGTACATAGGAGAAACTAAGTTACAGACACAAAATTTAAAACTTATTCTTAGAGAATAACCACGTATGGTTAGGATATTTTACCATCAGGATTTCAGATATAAAATTTATGCCAACTTTCCATTCATTTATCTCAGGTACCCTTCTAGTAGGAAGTGCTGAGAAGAGAAGTACAACAATGGTCACATGGTAGCAGCGGGCTCCTCAAAAACACCACCAACAAAAAAAGGTATGATTTTACTATGCATATCATAATCCCTTTTATCGAATATGCACCATTTCTTCTAAGAATGGAGTCTTCATGCAACCTGTGCAGAGCTGATCCATCCAGAGGGGAGCTTCATGCTGTAGAGGCGTTCGACGAGGATAAAAGGTAAAATTCACATCATAATTCAGTAGGCAACTGATGGATGCCATGTAAATATCAGAAAAACGAATCAGTCTTCGAGAAAAGTAGGTTGGATTGTGGAAGGTTCGAAAGATGCTACCAAACTGGGGGTTAAACAGATTCTTTGCAAGTGACCTGAAAGGAAAGAAGTTGGTATAATGGAATTATATAGAAACCCTGGGAGAGGAAGAGAAAAGAATACAGCACATTTACTAATATTATGGAAGCATTCAATCATGGGCCACCTCATTCTGCTATCCCAGGAAGACAAGAAAGGTGTATCCTAAATGTTTACAGTCTGCCACTTCCATCCCAAGTGCCTGAATTTGTTTTTCTTTCCGTCTGTCTTGGAAAACACTTTGCTTTTCCTTCAGAGCCGCAAGGAAAGAAAAAGGCAGGACAAGAGTAAAGAGAGATGAAGGAGCTTTTAAAAAGTGAAGCATAAAGACATTCAAGAATGATGAGAGAAAACACGATCCTGGAGAAAGCAAGCAAACAAACATCAGTTGTGAGGGAAAGTAAAACCAAAGAGTAAACGGCAAATCTTCATCAAGGGCAAACATGAGAAATCCAGAAGTTCCAACCCTGGGCGATAGTTTTGTCTTACCTACCTTGGAAAGAAAGATATGGTTAACTCATCACTGGAGGCCAAACTGCTCCAAAGCAGAATTTAAAAGTTTGGCCAACCATGTTGGTGTTAATTTAAGGGAGCAGCAGGCATCCTTTTTTAACCTGTGTCTTTTACTTCTTCAGATAATATGACTGAAGACTTGTTATGAAATGGTTGTCTGTATGTCGACAAGCGTATTCAAAAGCAGCAAACTGATTGATAGATTGATTACATTCATAAAACTGACTGTGCACAATTTGTGATTCTGAGTGGAGTATGGTGAAAAAACAAAACCAAAGCCAATACAGTAAAATACAATCCACACATAGCGGAGGCTGAATATAGCAAACACTTATTCTCACACAGAAGTGGCTCATCTAACATTGTGTCAGAGAAAAGACAGGGCTTTACAGCTCTGTGGAATGATAACAAGGTCAGGGCCACCGAAAGCTCAGGGGAAAACTTGCTCCAAAGGCAACAGAGAAGACACATCTAGATACCATTAGATGGCACTGCCTCAAAGAACGGATCTGGAGCATGCCCACCCTGTGTAACCATGTGGGATGGGCATAAGTAAACAGGAAATAGGAAGTCCCAGAAAAAACAGAGGCTTGGGCCATGTAGGGTTTTACAGATGATAACCAGTACTCTGCCAGGAACCAGTGTAGCTTGTGGAATATAACTTTGGCGTATTGAAGTGTGTCCACCACTACCTGCGCCACTGCATTCTGGACTAGCTGCAACTTCCAGATGGTCCAAAGGCAGCCCCAGGTAGAGCGCTTTGCAGAAATCCAGGAGGTAACTAAGGCGTGAAGGGCCTCCTGAACCAGAAATAGGACCAACTGATGCATAAATGGAGTTGTATGAAGATCCCTTTAGTTATTCATTCATTCTTTAATTAATTAATTTATTTATAAGATTTATATGGTCTCCCATCTTAAATAACTCTGGGTGGCTCACAATAACAATAAAACCAATAACTATAAAACAATCATGAAACAATAAAATAGAAAACAATGAAACAAAAACCCTGCATCTTAATTGTCCCCTTGGGATTCCCCACAGCAAACTCCAGTTACCCTCATGCCATACTTTCTATCTCTTCTATGAATGCCACTATGAGCGCACTATGATTATGAGTGCCACGTGGTCCTCAAGCAGGATCCATGAGCTCAGGGTGACTCCCAATTCTGAGTGGGGGAGTACAGCCCTACCTAGAACCAGAGATGGAAAATTGCCAAATCCAGATCCTGGGGGCCCAAAAGATTAAAGCCCCTCAGTCTTGCTAGAGTTAAATTGAAGCCTATTCTTCCATATCTAGGCCCCCACAGCCTCCAGATACTGGAAAAGAACTAAGACAGCATTGCTTGGTCAAATTGTTCATATTGGGCCATGAGAATTTCCACAACATAAAAATATTTTGCAAGGCACAACCTGTTCCAAATTAAGAAGTTGTAGTAGTATGTTACTTAAAACAGAAAAGTATGTTTGCAATTTGTAAAGTGTATGTTTTAAATCATTGTTAGAATATTTCATAAAGAAAACAAATCATGATCAAGGTTTGATAGCCAGTTTGATACACTTGAGAGCCAGTTTGGTCTAGTGCTTAAGGCACCAGCCTAGAAAGCAGAAGACTCTGAGTTCTAGTCCCACCTTAAGCATGAAAGTCAGCTGGGTGACTTTGGGCCAGTCATTCTCTCTCAGACCAACTCACAGGGTTGTTGTTGTGGGGAAAATAGGAGGAGGAAGGAGTATTAGGAATGTTTGCTACCTTGAGTTATTTATAAAAAAAAAAATAATAAAGGTGGGATAAAAAAAAAAAAGATAGCTCACCTAATTTCCTGTCGCTCTTTCATCCACTCTAAAAGGACTTGCTTGGATTCTGCATCTTGATACATCTAAAATAAAACAAAACAAAATTAAAGCTAAAGACCAATGACTGAACATGCTGTTTCTAAAGATGAGCTTTCTGTCAGGAAAAATACACACTCAAATATTTACAGGTGATATTTCAGTCTCCAAAGAATACAATATAACCAAAAAACCATATCCGGGAACTGTGCTTAATCTAGCTGAAGGAAATGACAACCCGGCCGGTGATGTGTGCATTACTGCTTATTCCAGCCTACTCTATTTTACCTGCATTCTCTCCAGAAGTCCTGTAAGAGCTTGCTGCCAGGTCAAAGAGTGCATATATTGCTCTGTATTAATGATTCGTATTTCTGTTTCTAATTCTGGAACAATGGCACCCGTCCTCCAACCATGACGCAGCATGAGATCCTTAAAAAGAAGAAGAGAAAGGCAGTGGAGTGACTTACTGACTTAGGATCCTGTGATACAGCTTTACAAAAGAAGCCCTCAATAGCTTGTTTATATGCAGCTTCCCTTGCAGAATGATGCACATCAAGATCATGAAGGGAAAAAAAGACGCATTTCCATCCAGTCTACAAAAATACCTCTGTCCACTCATTTGGGGCATTTCTTTCTTGTCCAACACAATCAGAAAGATAACTGTTTATACATCTGTTGCGATGTGAATACAACTCTGAAGGACAGTAAGGGTTTTGCTGTTTGCCTAAGTTACTACACTGGTTTAGTATGATAATCATATAGCAAATTTGGACTTTGAACCCGGAATGACCCTCCAGGGTAGGAGTGCATTGGCCCTGATACTTTAAAAAATTAAAAGCAAAAACAATCATGTCTATTCCTCAAGAATTGCAAAAATGAGATGCTTCCTCCTTTTTCATTTAATCCTCTTTCCCTCCCCATTTTTGTAATTTAAAGAGAAAAAGCCCTAATAATGCACAATGTTTAAAAGCTTTACTATTCCTTGAGAAGTTCTTAAAAGCAGAAAACAATATGGTGGAAGGGCGATTGCAGCTTAGTAGTATTAACAGAATGTTCTGCAGAAATGCCTGATGTTTTCTGGTCCTATTTATAAAACAGCATCAAAAGAAAATTAGTTAAGCAGGCACAATAATGAAATAAGTTTGCAGAAAAGGGTGTCTGTGGCCAAACAGATCTTGCCTATCCTGGCATTTCAAGTGGTTCGCATCCCAAGGCCTGTTTTTTTTTTCCTTGTGTGATGAGAGAAAATATGTCTTGCCCAAATGAAATCAAAGTTGTTTCCATAAAACACAATGCATGCCAAAAATTATGACACCAAATATACTAGCAAAGAAGCCAATGTTATCACTGACTAAGAAATTAAATAAAGTAGTACTCTGAAGAGATTTCATAACAGTGGCTTCAGTCCCAAGAAGGAAGTGTAGCTAGCTGGGGAAACCACTTGCATGACATGAACACAGCAGCCTGAAGAGTCAAGCAGCAGCTGGAGCCCTTCAGATCTACATGTATGATCCAGTAATGATGGTCCCATATGGTTCAGTCAGGTGCAAGCTCACAAAAGATCAAGTCTCACTGGATCCAGTGGAACTCATTTCTGATTGAACAAGCATAGCTGTGGGCTGCACATTACAAATGACCACTGCAGCACAGATCCATACTCTTCCTGGGCTTAAAAGCATACTGTATGTTCAAAACACTGAGGTTCTAGTTCCAAAACTCAGTTAATGGTGAACTGCTTGTGCACCTGGCTTTTTCCTATTTTCTTTTTCAACTGCAGCATCTTTCATTTACATACCCTCCACCTGACCTCCCAAAATTAAAAATAACAATAAAGAATGCTGTGGTACTGCTATGATAAGAGATGAGAGTTGGATACCAGAACAAAGTATCTCATTTCCACACTGTACACTGAATTGTCTGTAAATCATCTTTCCGTTTATATACGAGGATGAATTGTGGTACAGGGTTAATTAGGGGAGAAATGATTGTCTTTTCAGATAAAATTAAGTTTTGTAAATCAGATAGACAGACAAATAAATAACATAGTTTTAGTATGGTTTTAAAATAAAAAAGTTGTTACAAACATGTGGGTTAAGGAAAAAAACTTTTTTTTAAAAAAAAGGTGTTACTTATGGGCTTGAGATGGGAAAGGTATTCAAAAGAACACAACCTAGGCAAATAAATCTTTTAAACTCTATTTTGCTGTTTTAGAGTTGGTTTAAAAAGAACTGAGTAATGTGATTTAATGTGTTATGAACACTGCAAAATCACAAGCCCTAAGGCTTGGATATTTTCCATAATATATCTTAACACAAACAATACTGATTAATTCAATGAATACAAAACCAGCCTTCTGTGTCTCTGTAGCAGGCACAGAACATTAAGTGACACTGACGTCAGCCGATGCAGGACTTACTGCAAGGTCACTGTACAAATGGTCACCAAAATAAAGGACCTTGGACCCACGCCAGCCTGTTAGCCGCAGAAAATCAAACAGATTGCCCTGAAATGTAGAAAGAAAAAAAAAGTGACAATAAACCAAATATCCAGTTCCTCTTCTGCAAGGGAAAACATTGCATGCTTGGCTTGAAAAGGTCAAGAAAAGACGTCTCTTAGCACTTTGATTTTTCACAGAGCAAAGGAAAAATATTTCTTCATCATGAGCTGCGTATTTAAAAATGGCTACAGATAGAGGCTTAAGGAGTTCTCACGGGAACTTGAGTCAAATCAGAGAAAAAGTGAATTCCTTAAAGCCAGACTTATAATCCTATAATTTCTACAAATGATTAACTTACTGTATTTTTTTCTTACACACACACACACACAAACTTAGATTTCAGTCCCATTATCCCAGTGATCTGAAGATTTTAACCTGTTGACTTCCACATCGGAGTCTTGTATACAGGCAATTAGGAACAAATGTAAGGATACAGGCCAAAATAATTTCCAAACTGAAAATCTTCTGCACATGTATACAGGTAGTCCTTGAGTTTTGACTGCAATTTGGACCAGGATTGCCATCACTAAGCAATGAGGTCATCAGGTGTGATGTCATGTGATCGCATCACTTAGCGACAGCAATCCAGACAGTCCCACTTGTTGTCGTAACCCAAGTTGTGTGAGTTGTTAAGTGGGAAATGAAGGGAGTCCCAGGTAAGGAATGTGGTGGTGCTGGGGGGTGGGGGAGGCCTTAGGAGGCCTGGCACAGGCTGCACGCAAGTCAGGGGTGGGGGTGCTCAGTGCGGCGTGAACTCAGAAAGGCTGGGGAATGAGGGAATGCAGTGCATGTGATCACAGGGAGGCTGGGGAAAGAGGGTGCGGGGTGTGTGTGTGTGTGTGTGTGCAATCACAGGGAGGCCAAGGAAAGAGAGTGCAAGGTGTGTGCAATCACATGGAGGCCATGGAAAGAGGGTGCAGGATACATGCATGAGTATGTGCGATTGCAGGGAGGTCAGAGAAAGAGGGCACTGGGTCCATGTGTATGTGTGTGTGATCACAGGGAGACCATGGAAAGAGGGCACGGGGGTGCATGCATGCGTGTGTGTGAGCATAGGGAGGCCAAGGAAAGCAGGTGCAGGGTGCATGTGATTGCAGGGAGGCCGTGGAAAGAGAGTGTGGGTTGTGTGCATCTGTGTGTGTGATTGCAGGGAGGCTGAGGAAGGGTGCAGGATGGGTACAATTGCAGGGAGGCCATGGAGAGGGCATGGGGGTGTGCGAGTGAAGGGAAGAAGGAGAGCATGGTGCATGTGAGAGAAGAAAGGTGGGGGGCTTCCCACTTACTTTACTGGGGGGAAGCCGGCAGGAAGGTTGCAAATGGTGACCATGTGATTGCAGGGTGCTTGGCAACTGGTTGTAAGTACAAATGGGTTCCAAGTACAGTGGTACCTCGGGTCACGAACACTTCTGTTCATGACCAATTCGGGTCACGAACAGCTCCGTTTGCAAAATTTTGCCTCCGTCCGCAAACGCCGGATCGGGTGACGAACAGGAGCCGCGGCCATTTTCCCTCCCGTGACACGTGGTTGCGGCTTCCTGTAGGGAGGGGGACTCTCCCTCCAA